TGAGCCCAGGGCTTTGCACATCCCAGGTGAGCACTCCACCCCTGAGCTCCATTCCTCCTCCCAGTTGTTTCCTTTTTTCTGCTAACACAAATAGTGCTACTGCATACATTTCTTTTTCAGGCATGAGGATCTCTCTCCACTTTACAGAACTAAGAAAAAAAATTTTTTTTTTTTTTGTACCAGGAATTGAACTCAGGACCTTGTGCTTGCTAGGCAGGCACTTGTGCTGCTGAGCTATATCCCTGGCCCCTGTATTGTTTTTTTGAGACAGGGTCTCGCTATGCAGTTCAGGCTGGCCTTGAATTCACTTTGTAGCCAAGGCTGGCCTCAAACTCCAAGCAATCCTCCTGTCTCAGCTTCCCAAGTGCTGGGATCACAGACATGACCCACAACATCGAGCTCAGAATTTAAAAATAATCAGCCAGGTGTGGTGGCGCACACCTGTAATCCCAGCACTCGGGAGGCTGAGGCAGGAGGATTGTTGCGGAGTTCAAGGCCAGCCTGGGCTACAAAGTGAGCTCAAGGCCAGCCTGAACTGTGTAGCAAGACCCTGTCTCAAAAAGACAAAAAAAAAAAAAAAAAAAAACAAAAAAAACCCCAAAGGCCATTCCCAGTAACAGTTCCCAGGAGTGTATAGACAAGCAGTCCTGGAAGTTTTGGGGTCTATCAATCTGGGTGCCAGAGCGGGGGCAAGGACTCACAATCCTGTACAGCCACAGACCCTGGGGCTCTCTGCCTTCCCCCTAGTCCCCAGAAATAAAGTAAGCAGTTTGGGGCCAGTCAGGCAGCCTTGGCTCTGACCAGGACTGGCCACACCCCTCAGCCTTCTTACACCAAGGGTGTTGCTGTGCAGGGGTGTGTGTGTGTGGCGGAGACAAAGCCTAGAGAGGAGAATACCCTGGGCGGGGCCTGGGTGTGGAGAGGCTGAGGCCCCTTTGTCACTGATAAGACTGAGGCCTGCTGGGCTCTTTCTGGCCTCCTGTTGGGCAGCAGGTCTGACCTTGCTGGAGGAGGTTGATTGTGGTTTCTAGCAGATGGCAGTGGAGGGCACTGAAAGGCCATTTCTTTCTCTCTCTCTTTTTTTTTTTTTCTATACCGGGAATCGAACTCATGACCTCGTGCTTGCCAGGCAGGCGCTGTGCCGCTGAGCTAAATCCCCAGCCCTGTGAAAGGCCATTTCTGCCCCCACATTGTCTGGGCCCAGGGTTTCACCTGGTCATTCATTTATTTATGGCCATACAGTTCCTTGGGCATTGCTAGTGCCAGGCCCTGTGAGAGTTTTGGGGGATGGAATAGCTCTAAAGATGAAAAAGGCAGGTGGCTGGCCAGGAGTATAAAGAATCTTGCCAGGCATGGCAGGATGTACCCAGCACTCGGGAGGTTGAGACAGGAGGATCATGAGTTTGAGGCCTGCTTGGGTTACATAGCAAGACCTTGTCTCAAAGGAAAACAAAACAAAAAGGCTCATCTATGAGTAGTAGTCTGGTCTCTGGGACCAGGGCACCCTGCCCATGTCCTCACGTCAGTTTGTCTTTTTGAGACAGGGTTTTGCTATGCACTTTAGGCTGGCCTTAAACTTACTTTGTAGCCCAGGCTGGTCTCAAACTCTCAACAATCCTCCTGCCTCAGCCTCTTGAATACTGGGATTACAGGCATGCGCCACCATGCCCTGGCTCAGTGTTCCAGTTTGGAAGCTTCTATTTTTTTCTCCAAATCTTATCCTTCCTTATCCCCTTTCCCTATATTTTTAGTATCTATCTATCTATCTATCTATCTATCTATCTATCTATCTATCTTGTACTGTTGTTGATCAAACTGAGAGATTTCTACATGCTAGGTAAGTCATCTATCACTGAGCTATACTCCTACTCCCTTATAAATTTTTATTTTGAGCCAGATATGGTGGTGCATGCCTGTAATTCCAGCTATCTCAGAGGCTGTGCCAAGAGGATCTCCAGTTGGAGGCCAGTCTGACCAATTTAGTATTACACTGTTTCAAAATTAAAAAAAAGTTTGAGCCTGATGTGGTGGGGCATGCCTGTAATCCCAGCACTTGGGAGGCTGAGGCAGGAGGATTGTTGCGAGTTTGAGGCCAGCTTGGGCTACAAAGTGAGCTCAAGGTCAGCCTGAACTGCACAGCGAGACCTTGTCTCAAAAAGACAAACAAAAAACAAAACAAAACAAAACAAAACAAAACAAAACAAAACAAAACTCACTGTGTAGTCTAGGCTGAATTTACAGCAACCCTTTCTTTTTTTTCGGTCTTTTTGAGACAGGGTCTTGCTATGCAGTTCAGAGTGGCCTTGAGCTCACTTTGTAGCCCAGCTGGTCTTGAACTTGTAACAATCCTCCTGCCTCAGCCTCCCAAGTGCTGGGATTACAGGCATGCGCCACCATATCCAGCTATTACAGCAATCCTTTGTGTGTGTGTGTGTGTGTGTGTGTGTGTGTGTGTGTGTCTGTTTGACAAAGTCTATATAGTCCAGGCTGGCCTTGAACTCAGAGGTAATCTTCCTGCCTCAGCCTCTTGAGTGCTGGAATTATAGGCATCATCCATCACAGCCTGTTTACTTGATTTATTCAGTTTTAGGCATTATCTGTTGCCAGAATCTATGGGACATGAGGATTTAGCTGCTTCCTCTGTCAGCTTCACAGACCCTGTCCCCCAACTCCCATTTTCCTAATAGTGTTACATCACAATTTTTTTTTTTTTTTTGTCTTTTTGAGACAGGGTCTTGCTATGCAGTTCAAGCTGGACTTGAGCTCACTTTGTAGCCCAGGCTGGTCTCGAACTTGTAATGATCTTCCTGCCTCAGCCTCCTGAGTGCAGGGATTACAGGTGTGTGCCACCATGCCTGGCTTTTACACCACAATTTTTATTGTATTGATAGTGTTCACGTGTCACATTTGAGCTGCATTTTAAAACATGATTACTTTTCCTTTTATAAACTATTTTGTTTCTCCTAAAGTATTAACTTTTGTGTTTTTTTCTTTCTTCCTTTCTCCCCTCCTTGACTTCCTCCCTCTTCTCTCTCCCTTCCCTTTGTGTGTGTGTTGCTAGGGATTGAACCCAGGGCCTTTGCACTGAGCTAAATCCTCAGTCTTTTTTTTTTTTTTTTTTCCAATTTTTAGGCCAGGGTCAGGTGTGGTGGCTCATGCCTGTAATCGCAGCACTTGGGAGGTTGAGGCAGCAGGATTGTCAAAAATTTGAGGCCAGCCTGGGCTACATAGTTCAGGGGCAGCCTGCACTAAGGCTCTGTCTCAAAAATCCAAAAGAAAAAAAAATTTTTTTTGAGGCAAGCTCTCGCTAAGCCACTAAGTTGCTCAGTCTTGGCTTGAATTTGTTCATTTGTTTTTGACACAGGGTCTCTATGTAGTTCAGGCTGGCCTTGAACTCACTGTGTAATTCCTATGATCCTCCTGCCTCAGCTTCTGGAATGCTGAGATTACAGGCATGTGCCACTACACCTGGTTTCGTGGTCCTAAATCATTTCATTGTGTATTAATTTCAAGTTTTCCTCATAGGCTGGGGATATAGCTCAGAGGCACAGCGCCTGCCTGGCAAGTGCAAGGTCCTGAGTTTGATTCCTGGTATCCAAAAAAAAGAAGAAAGTTTTCCTCATAAAAGTAGGACAGGGCTTCCCAGTACTCTATCCATTTTTCAAAGAAAGTGAGACTCAGAGAAAAGGAGTGACTACCCAAAATCATCTAGGGAATCTAGATTCCAAAGCACATACAGTATTAAAAATCAGGCTTAAAAAAAAGATCAGGCTTATACAAGGCATGTCAGCTGCAAAATCAGACCTGAGAGTCTAGTTTCTCGGTGTGGTCCCTGCTTTGCAATCAACTGACTTCTGAACTCCACCCTACACTTACTAAATAGAAGCTAGCTGGCTGGAATCTAGACATTCGTATTTCTTCTGATGTTTTTCTAGCACACATTAAATTTTTCCTTATGCACATTCAGTTTTGTTGGGGGTGGTGTTGGTGTCAAACTGCAGCATGGCAGGCAAGTGCTCTATCACTGTGCTACACGTCCAGCTCCAGTCATTTGGAACACAGGTGCACAGACAAGATGGTCTGGACAAACAGATCTAAGCAGGCTGCACAAGAAGGCGGCATGTGAGTCTGTCGATGGAGCTGAGAGGCAGGGAGGAGGGAAACTACATCAGGCTTGTCTGAGTGGGGACATAAGCTGAGGTCTCTCCCTGTTGCTCTTCACTGCTGGCATCATCACCGCTTCCCTCCTCAGCTTTCTATCTCCTTCAACAATGCCTGTTCGTGGGGTGAGCTCAGTAGAATTTTCTGCCTTCTCGGAGCGGAGAGGTGGTGAGCACATAGAGGTGAATTGGTATGGAAAGGACACACAGGACAGGAAGGGGCGAAGATACATAAAACAGTGGGAAATCACAGAAGAGTAGGAAATCACAGGCGGACAGGGCAGATCAGGTGCAGAACTTTCAATGGGCAGGCCTTAATAAGCTGGGTAAGGACACCAGCAAAGGTGTGGCTATGAAGGGCCCTCAGCAAGGCCTAACAAACAGAACGCACAGACAGGTGCAGAGGGCCAGGTGAAGGGCACAGACGGCTCAGGATGGATCAGATGAGTCCTCAGAACTGTGAAGGGCACTGAGACATAGCTGGCTCCTTAATACTGTGAGCCAAGACAGGGCTGATCCCAAGTCCACAGCCTGGGTTCCAGCGCCGCCCTTTCCAGCCTTGTCAGGTGCGGAGGGCATGCAGGCCCAGGCTCCAGGGTGTGGCCTGCTCCTGGATGTGCACTCTGGTCCTGCCAAGGGAGATGGCCTCCTCCTGTGTCACATTTATTTCAGCTCAGAGATGTTTTGTTAGGGCTTGCTGCTTTGTGGTTCCAGCTCAGTTTGGTACAGGTCCCTTAGCCCCGGCTTGACCCGGCCTGCGGGTACAGCCAACGAGGACCCTAGAGGGGGAGTGGGGATGATAAAGGGACAAGAGACACGAAGAATGGAGACAAGACAGTGTTCTGATCAAGTCTCGTTTATTAGCGGGAAGTGCCGTGCTTATATAGGGAACGGAGAAATGCGGAAGTTCTTAAGGCGGGAGTAACCAGGCAACAGTGGGCAGTCCCAACAGTTAGGGAAGGGCGCGTGACTTCGGGGAAATAGGTAGGCCATGAGGAAACAAACTTATCTCAGAAAACAGAAACTTAACTTTTAAGGCAGCTGCTTGATTCACAAAATGGCTGCCGACACGGTGGTTAGTTGTAGGTCTCCCACAGGTCCCTTTTCCTTTAATAAAATTTGAGGCTGAAAATCCTTGAGGAGACTGTGCCTGTCTTGGGTCAGGAGACTTTCACGTAAGACCAACCTAACCTTACCCGTCATTGGAAAACAGAGCAGCATAAGGCTCAGCTCCTGTCTTAGGCGGTAGTTGGCACTGTATGTGAGCTCCAGTTGCCCGTCTCTGGCTATCCAGTCTAGTGCACCAAGGTGAGAAGGTCTTACCCTATGCAATATCATCATAACGTAGTCTTGCGGGCTCTATATAACCTTCTCTATCAGCCATCTCGAGCCTGTGATAGTGAACCTGTAGGGGTTGTATTTTTATGGCATCCACCTGTTGTCTGACAAAGGCCATCAATTTGTTAAAAAGGCAAAATCCCATTCCAGGTGCTCCAAATAGGGCTATCAAATAATTCTCTTTTCCTTTTGACCAGGTCTTTTTGTAGTTTATCTTATCTCGGACAGTGCCGGACTTGTTCGCATAAAAGCAGCAGCGTTCCTGTAAAGCCAAACAAATCCCTCCCTGTTCTGTCGTGAGAAGATCTAGCCCTCTCCTATTTTGGAGGACCATTTCTGCCAGAGAATCCAATTGATCTTGAATATCTTGAATAGTACTGGATAGGGCCTGAACGTCATTTATTAATTGATTTGAAAGTTTGACATGGGACTCTAAGGCAACTCCCAGTCCTACAGACCCTGTTGCTAGAGTTCCCGAAATGCCCAGTCCTACCAAGAGGGGGATGAACTGAACCGCTCTTTTAGTATGGCTATGGCCCACAGCGAGATCAAAACGTGATGGGGACAGGCTCATCCCCTGGTATAATGTCTATGTCAGGCAACAAGGTAGCCAGGACGCATAACCCCGACCAATTACTGGGTAAGAAGGAGAAAGCCGTATTTCCCCCACAGATAAACACTTGTCCCCTAACGGGACAGAGAGAAGAATAATTAGATACCTGACTGCAATTAGTGAAGGCGACAAAACCGACATCCAGATCAGAGCTATCATTATGAAATCTTCCTTGTACACAAGGGAGAGGTCTGTCAAGGCCTATGGGTTGCACCTTAAAAGGGAGGCTGGCACTACATTTTTGGGAATTTTTTTGAGTTAGCTCAAATAGAGTGGTGTTCAAAGGAATTGCAAGGGGCACAGGGGTACCCGTGGTCATGCATAACCAACAATCTTCAGCTAACGTAGGCTTGGAGGCATTGAGGGCTTTATGTGTGGCTTTTAGAATATCTAAGGTTTGGGTGTCTAAATCGACTCCTTGCGACTTGGGGAGTGCTAGGGGGTGGTAGTGAATCTTTGGGACCATGGATTCTATAAGTTCTTTTATTCATTCTTTGGTATGATGTTCCCTGACCACGTCTTGTGGTCCACCTCCATCGGAGACGTGGATAGGGGCAACCCGATGCCAGCAGACATTTTTGCCTATGGTGCCCGAGCATGAAGCTTGGGCATATTTATAATTACCAAGAACCCGGGGGACAATGTCCCAGTCGCCCCCAGAGGAGCCTGAATATGTTCTTAGTAGTATTGCAGTAAAATAGGTCTTATTATCTCTTCCTGTGCACTCTTGTACTGACTCATAGCAGGAAGAATGCATTTCAGGATAATAAGTATTGCATTCCTTAGGGCATGGTCCTGGTTTATCATCGATCTTGGGTATTACTTTTGGTTTAGAGCCACATTGCTATTTTTGTGTCATTCCACCCGTAACACTTGGCATGGCCATAAGATATGCCACTTTGTTTCCACAATCTACTCGGTTTAGGTTTAGGGTGTTGAGATCATTTGTTTTGCTACTCGGGCCAAGTGTGCCCCCTCTGCAATCACAGGGGTTACCGTACAGTTGCTTTAGAAACTCCTCATTGCTGACTGGGGGTCCAAAGCCGCCGTACAAAGTCAGCGGTAGCATCATCATTAGTCCCAGCAGTGGGATCTGGATTGTTGATCTCATTGTCCTGAAAGAAAAGTAAGAGAGCTCTCTCAGGGGTCCTCTTTGTCCCTGGAGTCATTTATGATGTCATCCTCTATTTTTTGGATTTCATCAATTTGTTTAAGCAATTGCTCTGGCAGCCATCTTGCAGATTTCATTTTCTTGGAATAAATGCATACTGATCCCCGACCCCATATGAGCACCGTGTCTGGACCGTGCCATGAGTTAGTCAAAGGGTCTTTCCACAATACTAAGGCATATTGTTTTTGAGTTTCACTATGCCAAAAGCGAGTGGCTGCTGACTGTCTGCTGCTATCTAAATTTAAAAAATTAAGGATAAATAGGAAGTGAGATACAATATTTCTAGGTGACCCCTTGGTAGGGTACCATTCCCCCTTTTTTATTTTATCAATTGTGAGTTTTAAGGAGAGATGTGTTTTGTTAACTATACCTTGACCTTGAGGGTTATAGGGTATACCTGTTATGTGTTGGATGTTGAGGTGTTGACAGAAACGAGCGAAAGCACAGCTAGTGTAACCTGGGCCATTATCAGTCTTTATTTGTTGTGGGCACCCTAAGACAGACAAGGCAGTGAGCATGTGACTGATTATATGTTTTTTTTTTTTTTTTGGTTTTTTGGTTTTTCTCCGGTACCAGGAACTGAACTCATGACCTTGCGCCTGCCAGGCAGGCCCTTTTTGCCGCTGAGCTAAATCCCCAGCCCTGGCTGATTATATGTTTGGTGCCCTCACCAGTTTGGAAGGAAGCGAAAATGAAGCCACTAAAGGTATCTACAATCACATGAGCATATTTTAGATTACCAAACTCAGGAATATGGGTGACATCCATTTGTCATAATGTGTTGGGGATCAATCCTCTAGGATTAACCCCAAGATGGGGAGTTGGGAGATGTGTGGCACAGGAGGGACAATTTTTGACTATTTGTCTGGCCTGTTTTCTGGTAATCTTATGTGTAAGCCGAAGGGTTTGGGATTGAGGTGGTGAAGCTGATGGCTATTTTGTGTCCTGGTGATGTCTTTATCAGGGTCATTGGAGTCAATATTGGCCAATGTATAGAGAGTGGACTGTGTTTGAGTGGCCAAGTCCGTTTTTTGGTTACCTTCAGTCAGGGGTCCTGGTAGCCCAGAGTGAGCACGAAGGTGCCCTATAAAAAATGGGCGGGTTTTTTTATTAAGCATTTGTATTTGTTTAAATAGTTTCCCAGTATCAGAGGCACTCTTGATTTGGCCTGTTGTTTTCAATAGGAGTATAGACTGTGTAATGTATGTGCTGTCTGTATATATGTTAAGGGGTTTAGTGGGGAAGGTAGAGAATACTGTAGTGACGGCGTGTAGTTTAGCCAATTGGGCTGATGTATTGTTTGTTTGAAAGGCTACTGTTTTATCCTGACAGACATAGGCGGCCATACCCGATGAGGAGCCGTCAGTGAAAACCAATGTGTCCTTTAACGGTTTTATTGTCGTGACTGTGGGGAAAACAAATGTATGTTTGTTGGCAAACTCAATAAGCATATTTGAAGGGTAATGATTATCTATAAGTCCTGTGTAGGAAGCAAGGGCAATGGGCCAGAAGTCAGTTGTCTGCATAAGCCAATCAACCTGTTCTTGGGTATAGGGCAGTATAATAACATCTGGTTCCTTACCAAAGTAGCATTTTTTTTTTACTTTGGCCAAGTATTATAAGGTTAGCTATGTCTTGATAGTAAGGTTTTATGACCTTTTTGGGTGTAACTGACAAATGAATCCACATCAAGGGCGCTGTCTGTCAAAAGACGACGGTTGGGGAGAGAGTGGTTTTGTATATGATGAATTTTAAGGGTTTGTCATAATCCATAAAAGTTATAGATTGAGAGTGAACGGCCTGTTCCACAACATGTATGGCTTGTCTCCCCTCAGGAGTTAACTCCCGAGGAGATGTAGGATTAGGATCACCTTGTAAAATATCATAAAGGGGTTTTAATTCGCCTTTGTTAAGCTTTAGGTAAGGAGTAAGCCAATTGATATCTCCTAGGAGCTTCTGGAAATCATTTAAGGTTGTGAGTTTGTCTAGTCTCAATTGTACCTTTTGTGAGGAAATCCAGGGGCCCCTCATTTGAAAGCCTAAATAAGTATATGGGTTTGTTAGTTGAACCTTATCGGGGGCAACTTTTAATCCTTGGTCACGCAAGGCTGTCTGTAATTTATCATAACATCGTAAGACTTTAGTGTCATTTTTCCCAGCAATTAAAATATCATCCACGTAATGAACGATATACATCTGGGAGCCAATGATCTCTAGTTGACTGTATTGTTGAAGCAACAAAGGATTGACACAAAGTGGGGGAACTGGCCATGTCTTGTGGGAGAATGCGCCATTGAAACCTTTTTATAGGTTCTCGAAAGTTGGCAACAGGCAAACTGAAAGCAAAGCATTTTTGATCTTCTGGATGCAAGGGAATGGTGAAGAAACAATCCTTTAAATCTATAATAATTTTAAAGTGGCCCAGAAGTATGGCAGAGGGTAGAGGAAGGCCCGGTTGTAGTGTCCCCATTAAGACCATAGTTTTGTTTATGTTCTGAGGTCCTGTAATAAGTGCCACTTTTCAGATTTTTTCTTGATAACAAAGATAGGAGTATTTCAGGGATAATTACTGGGGACTATATGGCCGGCTTTAAGTTGCTCCTGCACCAACCATTTTGCAGCCAATGCCTTTTCAGAAGTGAGAGGCCATTGGTTGACCCACACAGGCTCTTTTGATAACCATGTAATTTTTTTTTGTATGAGTCACAGGAGAATCAATGGCCCCTACTAAAAATGGCCTAGCCCAGCTCCATCAGGTTTCTGGGCAATTTTAATGGGTTTAATAATTCCTGAGTTATTTTTTTCAAGACCTTGGCCAGGGAAGTACCCATATCTTAGCATCTGAGCAGTGACAACTGTGTCGGGGCTGCCCATGATTAACCCCATTTGAGATAGCAGGTCTCAGCCCCAGAGATTTATTGGCAGTCCTGTCATAACATAAGGCTGTATGGTGCCTTGATTGCCCTTTTTATCCATCCATGTCAGAAGTCCTGAGCTTCTCTCTGGATTTTGGCTCTGACCTATGTCCTTTAGATAAGTCATAGTAACATCTAAGGGCCAAGCCATGGGCCAATCCTCCTTTTTGATGATAGTGACATCTGTACCTGTATCTATTAAACCTGAGAACTCTTTTCCCTCCAGCCACAAGGACACAAGGGGTTTTTGTGCTGAAGATTGTTGCCCAATAAACATCCGACGATCCAAATCCCTTATTGCCTCGTTGTTGAGAGACAACCTTATTACAGGTTGGAACAAAAGGTAAGAGTAGTAATTGAGCAAATCTCTGTCCTGTCCTAATGGTGTTAATGTCCTTGGGAAAGGACACCATGACCTTTATCTCTCTGGAGTAATTGCTATCTATCACCCCGGGAAAAACTTGTAGTCCGTTAAGTGTTGTGCTGCTACGCCCTATTATAAGGCCAAATGTATCTTTAGGTAAAGGACCAAAAACTCCCGTAGGGAGGGCCTGAATCCCAATGTCAGGGGTTAATACTGTGTGGGTGGAGGAACTGAGGTCCAATCCTGCGCTCCCTGCTGTGGCTCTGAAGAGGTCTGAAATGGATTGTTGCTTGCTGGAACAAAACTGATTGCCCCATAGATCTGTTTGGGTTTGGGATCCTGGGGCTGGCCCCGTTTCCTGTTTCCCTGCAGTGGAGGAAGTTTTTTGTCATCTATATCCTTTTTGGACTTGTATTTATTTGACCAGTGATTGCCTCTCTTACACCTGTGGCATAATTCTGGCAATTTTGGTTTTGTGCCGGCATTAGAGTCCTTTGAACAATTCTTGGCAAAGTGGCCAGTTTTTCCACAAGTAAAACACTTCTTCTGAGATAAGAATTGTTTAACTGTAAAGCCCTGTAGGGCGGCGGCCATGGCAAGTCCCTGTTGATAAGCAGCCCCGATGTCAGAACAAAGACGTATGTATGCTGTTAAATCTGTTTTTTTCTTGTAAGGTCTAATTGTGGCCTGGCATGTAGCATTAGCATTTTCAAAAGCTAGCTGTTTGACAAAATCTGTACCTGCGTTGGTATTGCCGAAAATTCTGTTAGCCGCGGTAAGTAGGTGGTGAACAAAGTCTGCAAAAGTTTCTCAGGCCCTTGTTTAATGCCAATAAGAGAGGAACTTATCTCCCCCTTTGCGGGGAGTTTTTTTTCAGACCCTGGTGGCTGTCGTTTGAATTTGAGCAAAAAGTCCTGCATCAAACTGCATTTGGGCAATATTATCTGCGTGAGGACCTTCTCCCGCTAACATATCAAAATTTCATCCATTGCCAGCCTGTGCATTACGCCTGGCAGTGTCTCTACAGTTTTCTATGTATTTTGATTTCCACAAAAGATAATCCCCCGCTGAGAGGGTTGCTCGAGCTAACATCTGCCAATCTATAGGTGTGAGCCACTGGTCAGCTATGGAGTCCAAAATGGCAGTAGTGTATGGGGCTGTGGCTCCATATCGTGCCACCGCTGTTTTTAACTCCTTCAGCACTTTGAGATCGAAAGTAGTATGCTCATGAAAGACCTGACCTTGGGCATTTGTTGTCTCAGTCACTGGGAATACCTCCCTCTCATCTAATTTAGAAACAGTCAAAAAGAGGAACACATTTTGAGCCTATGCTCCTCATGGGTGGTTGTTGCCTGACAGGTGATTTGGATTTGGTTTCGTTTTCAAACTTAGACTTTTTTATTTTTAAATTCTCTAACTGGGCTATCAAGTCTTGATGTTCCTTTTCCAATTTTATTTGATCCTTCAACAGCTCAATCTTGTCCCTAAGTTCTTTTCTGGGGTCAAAAACCGGGAAGGCCAAAGGGGCGGCAGTGGGACTAGCGCATGTACCGGACCTCCCAGAAGGGCGAGCGGCAAAAGCCGCAGGATCATATGGCGGTGGCCAGTCTGGATTATGGTACTGGGCGGCCTCTTCTGCCAGATCGTCCCAATCAATGTTATCCTCATCCACTTTGGTCTTCAAAGACCTTAAATCAGGGTACAATTTTTTAGGTTTGGCTCTTCCAGAATTGCCAGAAGTTCCCTCTCCCGGGGGGCCATAAGAGCCAGATTGGTCCTTTTTAGCTCCCTTACTTGGGGGAAATTGCTTTTTTTTATCCGTTTGGCCCTTTTCTTCCTCACTGTCGCTATCGAAGGACATAAGGTCCTTTTCTTTAGTGTCTGGTTCTGGGACTTCCCCTTCTTCCCCTTTAAAGCTGGTCCCTTTCTCTTCTTGGCTATCTTGGAGAATTCTCTCACTCTTTTGAATTATATTAGCGACCTGTGGGTCATTTTGTCTCTGAGATAGAATTTTATCTATCAGATTCCAATAAGCAAAGGCAGTTACCGGGACCTTTTCAGGCCCAAAAACATCATAAAAATCTTTAAGAGCATCACCAACTCTTTTCCATCGTTTTGAATCAATGGTTCCTTCCGTAGGGAACCAAGGTCAGATTTGCTTAATGAAATCAAAATACTGACACAATTGCTTAATTTTAACCTTTACTCCTCCTGTCTTTAAAGCTTTTCCTAAGCCCTCAACAAACATCTCATGTTGACTCATTTCTTGTCCCATAATTGCTGTTCACTTACCGAGGTCTAGAAAGCGCAGCAGGCTCCCGGCTGTCTGATCCTCTTACTTTTATTTTGCCGGCCTCTTGAACAGCGTCTGTCACTGGATCCCCCGTGCTGGGGCCCTGCGTTGGACGCCACTTGACCCGGCCCGCGGATACAGTCAACGAGGACCCTAAAGGGGAAGTGGGGATGATAGAGGGACAAGAGACACGAAGAATGGAGACAAGACAGTGTTCTGATCAAGTCTCATTTATTAGCGGAAGTGCCGTGCTTATATAGGGCACGGAGAAATGCGGAAGTTCTTAAGGCGGGAGTAACCAGGCAACCTAGACAAAGGCGGGAGTAACAAGGCAACAGTGGGCAGTCCCAACAGTTAGGGAAGGGCGCCTGACTTCGGGAAAATAGGCAGGCCATGAGGAAACAGAAATTTATCTCAGAAAACAGAAACTTAACTTTTAAAGCGGCTGCTTGATTCACAAAATGGCTGCCGACACGGTGGTCAGTTGTAGGTCTCCCACACCGGCTCTCCTTGGACTATCTCATTCTAAGGTCCAGCTTTCCCGCCTCGGGTGCTTTATCAGTTCGTGTACGCCCACTTTTCCTCTAAATTCTTTTCGCCATTCCGCCATCTTCCCAGCCTCCCTCTCTCCCGACGTCACTGGCAGATCCTAAGCACACCACGTCGCTCTCAACCTCAGAGGACGCACCAGGAACTTGTAGTACTGACGTGCACTCGCACCAGTCTGCGCGACGCCGCGATCACCTATGGGGCTTGTGGTCCCTTAGCCATTGCCACAAGACCAGGCAAACTACACATCCCAGAAATCCCTGCGCCAGAGGCGGGCTCCCTGCGGCCGTGAAGCATGACCCTTAGCCCACTCTTGAACTACAACTCCCGCCGTGCCTTGCGCCGGGACCCCCGTGGCAGGGACCGGGACTGTCGCCAAAAGGCTCCCTGGGAGTTGTAGTTCCTAGATTGGTGTGGTGAGCAGGAGGCGGAGTGACTCGGCGGCCATTAGCCGTGTGTAGTTGCCCGGGACTAGGAGCTTAAGTGAAGAGGGAAGAGTTATTCGGTGGAAATCCGCCGTGGCCATGGGCTTCTGCCAGGGTTAGCCCCACAGCACGGAGCAGGCGGGGTCCCTTGGCGCCCCGTCCCGCCCAGTATCGGGGCCTGCTAGGCCTCGGGGCATCCCCGGTCTCGAGTAGGCCTCGTCTGCCGGCAAGGGCGCCCCAAAGGCGGGAGGCGCCATGTCGCTGGTTGCTTACGCCAGCAGCGATGAGAGCGAGCCAGACGAGGGGGAGCCAGAGCCAGAAGAAGAGGAGGCGGCGGCCCCAGCGCCCGGGCCCACCTTGGGAGGCTTGTTCGCTTCCCTCCCGGCACCCAAGGGTCCGGCCTTGCTGCCCCCGCCCCCCCAAATGCTGGCCCCGGCCTTCCCCCCGCCGATGCTGTTGCCCCCGCCCTCTGGAGACCCCAGACTCCAGCCTCCTCCGCCCTTGCCCTTCGGCCTGGGAGGCTTCCCCCCGCCTCCAGGCGTGAGCCCGGCTGAAGCGGCGGGAGCTGGGGAGGGGATGGGCCTGGGGCTGCCGTCTCCCCGAGGCCCTGGCCTCAGCCTGCCCCCCCCTGTCGGCAGTGCCGGCGCCCCCCCGGGGCTTCCCAAGCCAAAGAAGAGGACCGAGCCGGTGAAGATCGCGGCGCCGGAGCTGCACAAGGGGGATGTGAGTATCTAGGGGGGGAACCCCAAACTGTCAGGTCGGCTGTAGGAGGGACTTGTGCAGATTACGGGACTCCTTAAAAACTCATCGGTTGACTCAACCACTGGAATCCTTTTGCAGTACAATTAACTGAGCGTAAATTTGTCAGCTTCTTTGGGGATTGATTATTGGTTGTGCGAGGTTCTCCAGGCTGGGCTCGCCCGTAGAAGGCCACGTATCATCCTCCTCTGGCAGTGACAGGACCAGGTCGATGTGCCAGGGGATACTTGCTTCTGCTTCCCACTTAAGCCCCTTCTCAGGCTGGCCTGCCCCTGCTTCCCATACTGAGCACAGGGTAATACGTGACACCTGAAGGGGTGACAGAGGCCAGGACTACATAATCACCATTTCCTTTGCCTCAGAGCTTAAAAGCGTCAGGGCCGGAGGGGAAAAGGATAGGATTCCTATACTTCTGATTTTTAAGGGGAGTTAGAGAAGAAATGAATGTTGGTTGAATGCAAATCGTTTGCCGGGCCTTGGTCTTTTCTTTCAGTTATTACAGAACTTTGGGAGAATACATTCTATTTTTTACAGATAAGAAATCTCAGCATGCACGATCTTACCTGGTGAAAGGCAGAGTGGAGATTAAGAGCTGAGTCTAAAATTGGATGTAGTGGTGCACATCTATAATCCCACCTACTTGGCAGACCGAGGCAGGAGGATCACAAGTTGGAATCCAGCCTAGGCAACTTAATGAGATCTTTCTCAAACTATAATTTTATTTAATTTTATTTTTTTGCTATCAGGAATTGAACTCAGGACCGTGCGCTTGCCAGGCAGGCGCTTATGCCACCGAGCTGTATCCCTGGCCCTCAAACTGTAATTTTAAACAGGGCTCAGAGCCAGGCATAGTGGCACATCCCTGTAATCCCAGCACATGGGAGGCTGAGGCAGGAGGGTTGCTATGAGTTTGATGCCAGCCTGGGCTACATAGTGAGTTCAAGGCCAGCTTGAACTATATAATGAGACTCTGTCACAAAAAAACAAGGACAAAAAGGGCTGGGGACGTAGCTCTGGTAGAGAAAGTGGCTCATGTACATGGAGTTGTGTGTTCAAAAAAAAAAAAAAAGCAAAACAAAGAACTAGGTCTGTTTGAACCTCAAACCTATTGCTTTTGGGTGTTGTCAAGCTTGGGCACTGTTTTAGATGAGGCAGACAACTTTAAGTTGTCTTCAGATGTTGGCAGAACAGTACCACAGGCTTCTTCTAAAGTGAGGGATTTGGAGATATAGAAGACAGTGGGTCTGGGGGCCTGGCGTTCTTTCTCTCAGAGAAGTTAAGGCTTGCTCATCCTTGATAACCCTGCTTTTCTTTAGCATTCCAGCTCTGCTTAGGGCCTTTTCTGTTCTTCCCATTGTTGTTTCTTCATTTGCTCCCCAGATATCCTAATGTACTTGCCCTCCCTGGTTCAAGTCTTGGCTTATAAAAGGAATTTTTTTTTTCTCCCGGTATCGGGAATTGAACTCATGACCTTGCGCTTGCCAGGCAGGCACTTTGCCGCTGAGCTAAATCCCTAGCCCAAAAGGAATGTTTTTAGTGAGTGGTCCCCTAGCCTACCTAGTTAAACTGCCACCTCCTGTGTCTGCTATTCCTGGCCTTTTCTTTGCTTTGTTTTTTTTCTATAGCATGTAACCACACCAAACATAGCAGGAGTATAATTTATTTGCTTCTTTCCTAGTGTACAAGACAGGTGAAGGCAGAGATGATTACAGTTTCAATTCACTGCTAGTCAGCACCGTGCCTGGTGCATACTTTGGACTGCATAGTTTTTTTGAGTAAATGAACTCAAAGGAATATGGATTCTTAATAGGGGGAGGTTTCAGAATCTCCCTCCCTGTCTTCTTCCATGTTTTGTTCTGTTTTTTTGAGACAGGGTCTCCCTGTGTAGTTCAGGCTGGCCTTGAACTCACTGTGCAGCCCAGGCTGGGCTCTAACTCTCACTCTTTTTTTTTTTTTTTTCCTTCGGATGTCAGGAATTGAACTCACGACCTTGCGCTTGCCAAGCAGGCACTTTGCCGCTGAGCTAAATCCCCAGCCCCTCTAACTCTCATTGATCTTCATCCCTCAGCCTCCTGAGTGCTGGCATTGTAGGCATGCGCCACCCTGCCTGGGTCTTCCAAATGTTTTCCCACGTCATGTCCCCTTGAGCCTGTCATTTCTAGGTCTAGGATCCAAAACCAGCTTTCCATTGTTCCTCTGAAACTCACCCTGGCCTTGATTTAACCCAGACAGAGAAAGGCCTTTGAGTGAGGCAGGAGAACTGGTAAATTGCCATGGCCTCCTGTCTTCTTGTTCTCCCCTCTCTTCCTTCTGGACTTTATCACAGCTTGACTGTGATGTGAGGGCTATAGGTGGGAAAGGTGGCACTCTGAGCCAGCCTCTTTCCTGCACAGTGACAGTGGGGACATTCATCCTAGTGCTAGGAACATAGCAGTAGAAAGCACGGCAGGAGAGGCTATAGAATCTTCTATCTAGGTTGGCTGCTTTGCAGAAAACTGGGGACTTTGAATGCTATCCCTCCTTTGTGAGTATAATTCACCAAATTTCTGAGGTGAATAGTGACAAGGCCAATTAAATAAAATCCTGGCCCTTGGCTGGTTGTTTTCCATATTCTGTTCCAGTTGGTAGTTTTGTTCCCTGAACACACAGTTCCTGGGAAACGTAGCCTAAGAGTAGGCAAGGTGGTCGGTGAGTGACTGTGGTCTTTAAAAGACCTGTACCCACTCCAGGCTTGGAACCTTCTGATTCTGAGCTCTATGTCCTTCACCTAGTGGGCTCTTACTGTTTTTTGAAGGAATGAATTAATTCCCTTTAATAATTTCCTTTAGGGTTTGGTGTTGTAGAAGTAATTAACTCTGTGCTTTTTTTTTTTTTAAATCCTGGGGATTGAATTCAGGACCTTTGTACTGAGTTACATCCCCAGGCTTTTTTATTTATTTTGAGTCAGGGTCTCACTAATTCTGTGAGTTACCTAGGCTGGGCTCCAGTTTACAATCTTCCTGCCTTAACCTCCCATATTGCTGGAATTACAGGCATGCACTACCATGCCAGGCTTAATTTGAACACATGGTGATCCTTCTGCCTCAGCTTCCTGAGTGCTGGGAGTAGAGATGTGTATCTTATTTGTACCTGGAGCTGAGAACAGTAGTGAACATGGTAGGCCTTGTCCAAGAGGAGCTTATGGTTTACCTGGGAAGGCAGATAAGGAAATAAGATTTCAGATCAGCAAACTTTTTTATTTCTGAGACAGGGTCTCACTATGTCATTCAGGCTGGCCTTGAACTCACAGTGATTCTCCTGCCTCAGCCTCCTGATTCCTGGGATTACATGCACATGCCTGGCTTTTTTTTGTTTGAGACAGAGTCTATGCAGTTCAGGCTGGCTTTGAACCCGTCCTGATCCACCTGCTTCAGCCTCCCAAGTGTGAGGATTACCAACATGCGCCACCACGCCAGGCTAAGATTTCAGGCAAGTCAGAAAAGAATCCTGATAGAGTTGGTGCCCTGGGAGTAAGTACATCTGACAGGCTGTAATCCAGGCTAGGGAGGTTAGTGAGGCTTATCAGAGAAGGCAAAGGGCTCTGTCTGATCAGAGATGAGGGAGGAACAGAGTGGGGAGGAGTGCATCTGACTGGAGAAACAGAATGTACTGAAGCTTGGGGGTGAGAGAGAGAGAACCTCCAGGCCCAGGGCTGATGCACATGGTGGGGAGTGGTGGGAGATGGGGATGGAGAGTGAGCCAAGCCAAGGCTGTTGTGCTGTTTTGGGGTCTTGAAAGGGTCCTTACACGCTGGGCAAGGGATCACTAATCACAGAGCAGTGAGATACATGTGTGAGGTGCTGGGGGACTGGTGAAGGATGGGGAGACCTGGAGGATGGAGATAGATCAGGAGGGAGATGTGTTAAGAACAAAGGATTGATTGGATGTCAGGAATAAAGGAGAGGCTTCAAGGTTAACCCTGTCTTTCAGCTCAGGCAGCTGGGAGGTCATGTGGGGAGGCAGGGTGGATCGGAGATTAATCAGCTCTCGCTGGTCACAAACGTGGAAACTATCCGTGCTAACTTAAGTGGTAACACATGACACGTAATCAGTGCCCCTCAGAAAGGCCCGGCTGCAGCTGTGGGGGTTGAGGGGGACTCGCACATTTCATTAATTTGTTCTCTGTGACAACTCCCTCCACTAATTTTTTTGCTCACATACAATTATTTATAATATTCTCTAGTATTTTGTTGATGTAAGCCTCTTTTCTGCAGTGATCAGGTCCTGTGGAACCTTGTGGCCATGGGAAGGATTCTGGGTTTGTTTCTTTCTCTCTTTTTTGTGATGCTGAGGATCACACCCAGGGCCTTGTGTATGCAAGACAAGAGCTCTACCCTGAGCTACATCCCCAGCTCTGCCTCTACTAATCTTAACCTTTGTTGGAGGTAGAAGACCTTCCTGATTTTTACTTCCTTCCTTGTAGAGAATATCCCAGGCTGAACTATAATTTAGTCCCATACTGTCTTTCCAGGAGAGAATTTGGTTTGATTTGATTTGATCTAATCAGGCTGTCCAATCATCTGCAGTCAAGGTAGCACCAAATTTCTCCCTCTAGGTGTATTTCACAGTCAGCTTCAATCCAGATTGAGTTAAGTGGGGAATTAAGAATGAACCACTCCCCCCGGGTGTGGTAGTATAGGCCTGCAGTCCCAGCACTTGGGAGGATGAGGCAGGAGAATTGCTGAGAGTTTGAGGCCAGCCTGGGCTACATAGTGAGTTCAGGGCCAGTGAACTGCATAGTAAGACCCTGTCTACAAAGAACAAAAAA